TTCCCACATGGCCCCAGCCGTGACGAATCTCCACTGGGCTGCCTTGCTATGTACCTATTACCGGAGGGACTACTGAGCCTCCAATAATCTCCCCAAGGTGCAAGTAGGCCACAACACTTCAGTCCTACCTGCACCATCCAAGGCCATTTTATTCTATGGGTATCTGGATCTAAATTCTCCGGGGCAAGGAGCAGAAGATTATTTTCATTACCAATCTGAGCTCTTACCTGATGATCAGTGCCCATAATTTGGATCCTAAGTGGGGTAGCCCACGTTGTCTGCAACATTCTCAGGGCACCGGATCTGCCATCTTGGAGTCCCCATTCAGGCCCCCAACGTTTCATAGGGTCTTTTCGTCCACCCCTGTCAGGACCAGCAGTTCTGTCTTCAGGGCAGCCTTAAGAATACCATTATAACGTTCAATGAGGCTTGCCCCTGTTGCATTATGTGGCAGATGGAATTGCCATTCGATGTTATTTTCTTCTGCCCAGTGTTGTATCATTGCACCAGTAAAATGAGTCCCTTGGTCGCTCTCGATGACTTGAGGTGTCCCGTAGGCAGACATCAGTTTAGTCAGTGCCTTGATGGTATATACCTGGTTTGCTTTTGGCACTGGATAGGCCTGCAGTAGCCCACTTGCAGTGTCAGTGCAGGTCAGGGCATATCTCGCCCCCTCAGACCGAGGAAGGGGCCCAGTGTAATTGACCTACCATCACTGGAGAGGATTGTGTCCTCTAGCAAGATGGGCTGTTGTTTCGGGCAACAGTCTTGGTCTCATTTCAGAGCAAGCATAGCAATCCCAGCATGCCTGGACAATGTCAGGTAGCTGTATGGCAGTCCCCATGCTTTAGCAGCTGCCCACATTGTCTTTTGTCCCGCATGCCGTAGCTTCTGATGTAACCAACAAGCGATGTTCTCAGATGGCGAATTCTCAATCCATCGAACTTGGGCCAGCGCGTCGGCTTCATTGTTTCCTGGTGACAGTAGGGGCTGATGACCAGAAACATGGTAGACACGTACAGTCCTGTGCTTGATTGTATTCCATGTCTAACCACATGTCTTTGCCCCAGATCGGCTGGGCGTGGATAGTCCATTTCTTGGTGGCCCACTGTGCAATCCAAAGAGTGAGCCCAACTATCTGTACAGATATTCAGGATACCATCACCGAGTTCCTTGATTATAACCATCCACACGGCTCACAGTTCTGCCCATTGGCTGCTCTGACCATCCCCCTCATCAAACCAGATTGTCTCAGTGGAAGGATGGTATGCTATTGCTCTCCACTTGCTCAGGTTGCCCTTGCTATACCCATCTGTGTACCAGGCATCTTCAGGGATAGGATATTTTCCCTCCTGAATGGGACTCTTCTCTGGCAGAACGACCAATATTTCTTTTGGTGTATCACTGTGATATGTCACTGGGACTAGGATCTTCTGAAGTTCTTCTTTCAAGGGTGATGAAGACAGACTACTCCTTTGGCTGAGGTTGGCGACCCATCGTGCCACTGTTTGTGCTTGGGCAGGGGTGTCATAGGAAGGTGGGTCAGATCTTTCACCCACCCCTGAATCGGTGGAGTGGTCTTAACTAAAACTTCAGCCATTTGAGTTATTGGCTCTACTGCCTGTAATGCCGAATAGGCAGCGAATAACTGTTTTTCAATCATACTGTATCTTTCTTCTGCTCCATGCCAGACCTGAGACCAGACACCACTGGGATCTGAACAGAACTCTGGTGTTGCCACAGACTCCAACCTCAACCGTCTTGAGTAACATGAATGTCCAACTCAGCTGAAGAGTAGGATCAAATATACCCAATGCCTGGGCTTGTTTAACTGCCAGTTTTGCCTGTTGGAAAGCGTCCTGTTCTGTTTTCCCCCAGTCCCATAACTGCCCCTTTTTTGTGAGTCTGTACAGTGGCCTTAGCAGCAGCAGCTGCACTAGGTGAGGTATAAAGGAACACCAGTGACACAATATAACTAGAATGTCCTGCAGCTGCTTCAATGTTGTAAGTACTGGGAACGCCTGAACCTTACCTATGACAGCACAGGGTAGTACTTTGGTCTTTCCTGACCAAACCACCCCCAGGAATTTTACGGACAGGCCCGGACCTTGCACCTTTTGGGGATTTATAGCCCATCTCCTCTGTTGTAAATAGGCGGTTAATGAATCCGCTGCCTGACCTACTGCCTCCAGTGAGTCGGATGTCATCAGGAGATCATCAACATAATGATATAAGTTAACATCATCAGGTTTTTTCCAGTCATTCAGGTCACATGCCACTAGATTGTGACAATACGTTGGTGAATGCACATACCCCTGTGGCAGGACCTGAAAGGTCCACTGCCTGCCTCCCCATGTAAATGCAAACTGATCTTGTGATTCTTCAGCAATTGGGATACTGAAAAACATGTTTGCTAAGTCTAGGACACAATGATAGGTTTTTATTTCCCTACATAATGTGTCTACTAGGGAGGCAATATTGGGCATGGCTGCATGAATAGGTGGCATGACCTTATTTAATTCTCTGTAAACTACTGTTATTCTCCATGTGCCATCCGACTTTCGCACTGGCCATATGGGGGAATTATATGGGCTCTGTGCAGGTCTTATAATCCCCACTTTTTCTAATTCCTGCACCATTCTTGATATTTCATCTTGCCCACCCGGGAGTCTATACTGTCTTACATTAGTAATTTGGCGTGGTTTCAGCAGGCAAATAGGCCCGTGTTTTGCATGGCCTCTTAATATTGCCTGCACTGCCCAGATACTAATACATCTCTGTTGAAGTCTAAACTCTCCCACTCTGGAGAGCCAGACCCTATAGAGTATCTATGCCCAAGATGTGTTCCTATACTGGGGCATAGACACCTTAATCTCCCATGGTGGCAGATGTCCATCCCCCAGTTTCAACCATGTTTGGGTGACAGGAATAGTCTCTCCCCCAAAGCCACCAATCATCACTCTGTCTTCATCAAATTTGGTCAGATCTCCGTACATAATTGATGTTTCTGCTCCAATATCGACAAGTGCCATAACTTTCTGGACATTTTTCTGGGACCAGAATATTGTCAACTCCACATCAGGCCTCCGGTCCCTTCTGGAGGCCCTAGGGGGACTAACATCCCTCATCATGCCATGAACTGAGCCAAAGTCAAGTCTTTGTTGTGCATTGTAGCCCGAGACACCTGAGGGGGCTTTTTTCTATTGGGAACAATGAAACCCTCTAAGTTCCATGTCATTGTTGGTACTCTTTCTATGGCACTCTTTCATTGGTATATCTTTCTATACATTCTATATCTCTTTCTATATTATTACTCTTACCCTTGGTTTCTTAGGGTAATTTTGCAATCTCTGATTGTCCTTCAGCTGTTTCCAGGATATGATTAGGCTGGCTGTCAATTTTTGCAAATTGGACCCCAGCCCAAATAAGATCGTTGAACATTTGTTTTCGCAAGACCCTTACAGACCCCAGCTGAGGATTCTGCACAGGTGGCCTCTTGGTTTTAGAAGCACCTCTGCTTCTTCTACTACTCGAATACTGCACCTAGAACGCACATGTTCTGACGCCCTTAGATCAGCTACTAACTGGGCAGCCTGTTGAATCACAGCCTCCGAGGCCACCAGGGGGTTTAATATGGAAACTAAGGTCCCATATAGGTGAGAAGGGGCCTGCTGTAAGATTAAATCTTGCATACCTGCTGAAAACTTTACCATATCTGAGTCCTCATATATCGCTTCTCTTATGCCCAGTTCACAAATATAATTTTGAAAATCCTGCATGGAGGACCATAATCCTGTGTTTAATGGAATACCTGATTTGTTCAGCCAAACCACACGGCATGCTGCCATTAACTAGTCTATTATTGAATAGTTCTCATTGTTATACTGAATAGCAACATACAGTCTCTCTCTGCCTGAGGGCAGGGTGTACCGTCATGGTGGCCAATTTTGATACTTCTGGCCCATTAACCATGACGCTTTCCGCCCCTGAATCCCATGTGGGTTTACTCTTTTGGTCTCCGCCAAAATTGCTGCACCATATCCATTAGTTCTTTTGGTGTATATGGCCTGGCCATTACGTGTAAATGCGTTTGGGCAGGGGGCCATTGGTCAGTCTATCTTGTACTTTTTTTGTCGTTTGGGTTATAATAGGACAGAGATCCGAGGAATCCGCCATAAGTGGAACCTCTAAATCTGACTTAGAGTTTTTGTTTTCCTGTTCAACCAGATCCGTTACTTCAGAGGTGTGGCTATTATCTACTGAAATATTGTGGACCTGACATATCAGGGAATGTAAAGTTGGTCTTTTCCCTGTTAATACATTAAGCTCCTGTTCCAGTTTTTCAATATGATCTTTTAATAGCTGATTTTCACTTTCTAACGTGTCAGCTCTTACCTCAGCTTGATTTAAGGCATTTAACAGTGGCCATGCCACTGTGGAAGCAGCTAACTGCCTTTCTTTTGTAGTTAGGATGTCTCTGTCTAATCCTTGAAAGTATTCCATCATGCAGAATGGGGAAATACTCCCCAGAGAATGCAGGGGACACCATTTCTCAACTACGGTTGCTAACTGGTAATAAGAAGAACCCAGAAACCCCGGGGTCTGTCTGGGGATCATTTTACCTAAGGGGGTGATGTTCTCCCCCCTGACCCACTTATAGAAATTCCACAGAAAGGACATAATATAAAATTTATTTGGCCTGGCCGGCACACCAATTATACAATCAATGAATATACAGATGTTATAGTATAAGAAAGAGCTTGGCTACATAGTTATTACACCAAAGCAGAAAACAGAAGACACTTACCCATATCCTGGGCTCACTTAGGAAACTCTAGTGGAGGTGATCTCCAGAAAAGATCCTTCCCCACTGGTAGTCAGCTCTTAAATGGGTCTAGGAGGGGTGCAGCCAGGCTCCACCCCTGCTGGCAGCACAGGTGAATTGCCTTCACCTGTGCTTCCATGGCTGACTCATTGCTCACCTCAGGTGATGAGTCAGAGGTTCAGGTCTTGATTCAACAGTTCCCATACACATTGCAAGCCATTTCACAAGGCAAGAGCTGTTTGATTGGAGAACCCATTGCTTTTTCCACAGTACGGATGGCTTTCACTAGCTCTGCCAGTTCCTTGGGCTCCAGGGAAGCCTGGTGGTCGCTTCCTTTCCATGTTTTGTCGAGAGTCACGTGACGCTCCACCACTTTTGCACCCAGAGCAACAGCTGCCACTGAAATGGCAATGCCGGTTTCGTGCCCCGAATAGCCAATGGGGATGTTGGGAAAAGCTGACTGATACGCCTGCAATCACGATAGAGTCGGTCTCAGTTGCCAAGGCAGCAATTTCAAAGACAGAGCAAATTTAACAATAACAACTGCAGTGAAGACACGGGCAGTTTCTGTGCCACAAAACAAGCTGTTGGTTACGCTCAGGAAGAATTTCCAATTGAACAGGTCACACTGCATTACCAACCACTCTGTTTTAAGAAGTTCACTCCATTGTGTTCTGAGAAGTTCACTGTGATTATCAATACTGGCAAGGAGAAAGGCTCGTTCTACTCTACAACTTCTCTCACGCTTTTCTTTTCAATTTATTTGCGCTCTTCAAGGTCTTAAAAGCCCACCTTGCTGCAAGTTGTGCAAATGGAGGTTTTTTTTTTTTTTTTCATCTGAGAAGGCAACACCTTGTTAAACTTAACCTGTGTTCAAAGCAGATGCTGCACCTTCCCATGTTTCCAATCTGAAGCGGTCCTTTCAGCAGCACACAGAGGAGTTATTAACTGCCTGTGGGACTGAAATACGGTCAAGTCCAGATATACTCAAGCTAACAAATACTGCGTGCATAAAGCTGGGCAGACGTTTGAACGCTGGCTGACCTGGGAACATTTTACTGCATCGGTACCAGGCACATCCAAGGAATAATTTCAAAGGAAACTACAATCTGTTTTCTCTCACAGCTCTGATATTCACACAAAGCCTTTTTAATGGAATTATCCGGTTGAGCTCCCAACTGAGAATCACGTCCTCAGTTCCACACACCCTCCTAGAGGTGAGGTAACTGTCCACATCCTTTTCTTTCCTTTTCAAAGCTCACGCTCACCCTTCAGCCTCCCTTCTATTTAACTGCAAAGCCCCAGCAGCAGTCTCTCTTATCGTATTCCTTAAAGCTGAATTCTGCCAAAAGAGGACCCAATTAATAATTTTACTTCAAGGCCAGGATGAAGGACCATGATGCACTTTCCCACTGATTCTCAGAAGCAAACTCGGGCATGCGTGAGACCTGGAAATAGAATGCAATTGAAATGCAGAGGCCTTCTGTGGTACTGTGCCAATGGCACTCTTACTTACTCACTGACCGATATAACACGGAGATTGACATCCTCAGGCTGAAGCGGGTAGGCACTGGTGCACTGCAGGAAGCAGAAGTTTGGATTGATGGGCTTCACAATCTGATACACCTGGTGCATTGTGTTCATCGACTGCATCCCGCTGGAAATCACCATTGGGCGTCCTAGACATGAAAAAAAATGTTTTGCCTAGATTTCAAGTTTAGAACCCTAAGAAATCTGCACAAGCTTAACTGAAGTTCTGTAATGCGTTCGGTTGAACTAGAAAAGGAAGATGGGTGATTTTTTTTTTATTTTTTCCTGAAATTAAGTGAAGGGAACACATAATAACTCAAATGGTGAGACACTGTGAAACCAGTGAAGTTTACTGAGACTGGGTTCCTCAGTTCATGAAAGACAGAGAAATTCTAGGGAGAGTCCAGTGGAGGGGCACAAAGATGAGGGGCCTGGAACAACTGCTCCATGAGGAAAGGCTGTGAGACCTGTGGCTATTCAGCCTGGAGAAAGCTAAGAGGGGATCAACTGAAAATGGGCACAAGCCTAGTGGATGGAGCCCAAGCTCACTTCAGTAGTGCCCAGTGACAGAACAAGGGGCAGTGAGCACAATCCAGAACATAAGAAGTTCCATCTGAGCACAAAGAAAAACTTCTTTACTGCGAGTGTGACAGAGCAGTGGAACAGGCTACCCAGAGACACTGTGCAGCCTCCTTCTCTAGAGATGTTCAAAACCTTCCTGGTTATTTTTCTGTGCAATCTGCTGTAGCAAATGTGCTTTAGCAGGTAGTTGGACTCCATGACCTTCAGAGGTTCCCTCCAGCCCCTACAATTTCAATTCTGCAAATATTGCTCGGTAGATAATGCTTACCTTTCTTTGCAGTCTTTTCCAAATATGGGAAATTGTTTGTATCTCCTGATCCTACTTTGAAAAATGGAACATCCAGTTCATGAAGAAATTCCACAGCCATCTGCAAGGAAGTAAATAAATAAAAATCACTGCTTTTCAACATACCAATTCGGCTGGGTTAACGACAGAGAAGAACCATCAAACCAACCCTACAACACAGCAAAAGCAAAGTTTAATTAAATAGGGCACGTATACATAATCCTCAAATTATACTAGTCCAGAATATATAAGGTACAAAATAAATGGAAAGGTAGGTCAAATAAATCCAAAGTAGATGCACCATTCTGCTTCTGGAGGTTGGTCTGCAGGTTAACAGTTAGGAAACTCTGGGTCAAACAAATGATTACATTTCAAGATTGACACTGACAACATGGCTGGATTTTTCTGTCAGATATCTTTACAACAATGGTGTTGTAACGATGCCTTCTACAAATACTAAGCTTGAATTTCTGAAACTGTTGTCAAAATACTCTTAGTACTATGGAGACAAGTAGTAAGAACATTATTGCTTCCTTCCAAAAAAGTAAGTAATGCACAGACATAGCAAAAATCACATTTGTATAGTGAAATATATGGCTCTACCTCCTATGTATTCTGTTAAACATCAGAATCAAAAATAGAAAAATATTACAAGTTTGAAATTCATAGAACTTTATTCTTAGTCTTTTATTTCATAATTTGACACTAGGTAGGGTGAACATCCCCCTTTCAGGAAAAATGGCTCTGATACTATTACATAGGCATCTGAAAAACAATCAGTGCACAAAAAGAAAACTACAAGGGATTTTCTTCTATCAGCGGTATCTGAAAATAAATATAAAACGTGCCAAAGAAAAGACAGTAAAGCAGTTTACTCAAACCTTAATTTCTCTCTGCCTCCTTCTCAAAACATGCATGCTATATTTGAGACAATTATTGAAGGTTCTATTAAAATCTGAATTCCACTAGTAAGTTATCTGAAAACAAGTACACTGAAGAAAAAATCCCATATAGCAAGTGATATTAAAATCCTTCACTCACACCTGAGGGGAACTATGAGCAGTCACCTAACTTTGTCCCCCTTTCAATCACTCCCCAAACAATTCTAGTTTCATTGGCTGATTCTTCGTTGCTGCCAAATATATTTAGCACTAGAGAAAGAAAGAGTAATGTTCCAAAGTTTAATTTTTCTATAATCATTAAGATGGAGGTTCAATTGCTTGTATCTAGGATGTATAATGTTCCTTTGATACAGTTTATTCATTAAGATGTATAAAGACATACTACAAAGCCATAGACTTAATTCAAGGAGATCGCACAAAATGAAGTACAACATTTGGACACAGTATCTAATACTACTGTTCATAGGATGACTATCCCCTGAAAGTCAGCAGCTTTTTCATAAGGCCATTTTCCATGAGCAGGCCCAGCCTGAGCAGCAGGGCTGGACCAGACAACCTCCAGAGGTCCCTCCTAACCTCAACCACTCTGTGTAATTTCAAGCAGAAGAGACAAGGCTAGAGGGAGTGGTTCAATGGGATCCTGTTCCATCTCCGGTACATTCTGGAACAGAACAGACAAAGAACTTACCTGTAGTCGTTGTATTTACTTCACACGTCACTTTACAGAACTTCCTCATACAATTAAACACACATTTTAACCTCCCTGGCGTACCTGGAGTTCCAGAGATTACGTTCAATTTACAGAAGATAACAAATACTACATCAATCTATGCAACGTCTACAGCAAGCTCAAAGAACTGTGGCTAGCAGAAACACTGCTGAAGTGACAGCAGCTATGTGAAGAAACTGCTGTTCAAAGAACGATGTCAGTACTGCTAACCAACTGATAAGGCAACAAGCTTGGGAAGCATCTTGAGAAAAATAAGGTGGAAAGTGAACTCTACTACCACATCCCACACATTCTGCATTTCACTACAATGTCAGAAAAGGACCTGATTTTTCACTCCAAAAGTGCACACGTGTTTAAGATCTTAGGTATGGAAATCCAAGATGAACGGATTAAAATGTTCTGTTCTTAAATGAAAAAACAGAGGAAGTGTTGCTATTCCTCAGGTCCCTTAGACATGAAGATACCAATTAAATAAATATCACACCACTTTCTCTTCCCTGATCTATTCCTGAGCCCATTGCAACAATACATGCAGAACACCTTTCCATCTGTCAGACACCTGAAATAGGCTTCTGATGGAGTTTGGAGCTGCATGCAGCTGGGACACAGCAATTCAAGGATTTCAGCCAACAGAACAGTGTGTTAAAAGAAACAGTGAGAATGGCCAAAGGACTAGAAAAGACGAGGGAAAAAGCTCGAAGGAATCACAATTCCTTAATCCAGGGAGTATTAAAAAAAGGAGATGATAATGTCATTCAAATAAAATGAAATGAAAATAGGAACTTTTATGTCAGATGAAGAATTACAAGAAGATTAAACTGATGGGTCAGCAATTCCCTCTGATGGTAAGGAAAGCAAGACACAGAACAGATCACTTTAGGACATCAGAGAAATACCATCTCATGCCATCCTGGGCAAGGCTACAGGCTGGCATGTGTGCCTTAGGGAAAAAGTGACTGGCTTACTTCTAGACAGTTTCTTTTAGTTTATTTTCTTCATTTTCTAGGCCATGAATGAAAGTAAAATAATACATAACTTCACTGAGGTTTAACTGCTACCTGAACTTTCCTGCCTACGTCTTTCAATCATAAACCGCATTTATTAATTTGAGGTAGGCAACCTGCAAAAGTTAAAGACTTCACATCTCTAAAGGGGGAACAGCAGCAGATGAGTTCCACAGAAGTATACAGGCTAGTGGATGACTACTCAAAAGTCCGCTGACAAAATCAGTAAAAGTTGTAAGAGCAGCAGGGCAACGTGAAGACCCTCTCCATCTTGAAGGAAAAGGGAGTGTAACCATTTTTGATGTTTAGAAACAAACTTACATCTAGTAAACCGAAATAAATGAAAAAAAAAAATAGCGAAAGATTGGCATTAAGTAGAGAAAAAAAAAATCTACAGAGGAAAGCCTGACATATAATCACAGTGGATACACAAGTGAGCAGGCAGAACTATATTAGTCTAGTTTCCTCATTTACGAACTCAACATCCACACGCACTTGGTGGACTTTTTATATAAGAACTGTAAGGGGCAAACAAGATACGCAACAGCTGAATTTTGCATCACACTGGTGTGGTGTATATACCTCATCCATGCCAGAAGCCGTGAAGAAAATCCCAACTTCCTCCGCGTACTTCTTCAGCTCTCTGTACTGGTCGTGACTGAACTCCAAGTGGCGCTTGTGCTCTCCGTAGGTCTTCCCCCAGGAGTGTTTTGAGGTGTACGGCCTCTCTAAGGCTTTTTTGTTGAATTTGTATTCCAGTTCGCTCTTCTGAAACTTAGCGCAGTCTGCCCCACAGTCCTGCAAAAGAAGCTGGGTCACTCACAGGAGCAGCGCAACCGGTCCTGGTGCGAACACGCAAAGGCTGTGCAGGTAGCAGTCGCCTGCACCGCAGCGCTCACACCACCGTGCCACCGGTGAGAACGCAGAGCGGCTCCGCCCGCGGCTCCGAACGCATTTTGCCGCGGTTTCCCCTGCGACGATGCGCAGCTTCCAAACACAGGTCCAACCAACATACCTAATACCAAATTTTAGAAGGGCTTTTTTTCCGACGGGGTGACTGAAGCGTTACTCCAGGGGAAGTCGACACACAAACGCGCTAAGGCAGCCGAGGCAGACCGAAGCGCAGCGCCCCGGCGCCGCACCGCGCGCACACCTGGGCGCGGCGCACCGACCGCCGCCGCCCCCCGCAGCTGCGCGCAGCGGACAGCGGCCCTGCGCCAGCACGGCGCCGTCGCGCACCGACCGGCGGCTCCGAAACGCTCTTTTTGCTGCCTCCCACCACGACCTTATTCTCCAGCCGCTCACCCGCACCCAGCCCGTTCATCCCGGGGCGAGCCTCGGGCCCGCTCGCACCTCCCCGCCGGCAGCGGCTGCCCGCGGCCCTCCCCGAGCACCTTGGCCATGCGGATCATGCGCTTGGCGATGTCCAGGTCGCCCTGGTGGTTCTGCCCGATCTCCGCGATGATGAAGCAGGGATAGTCGCCGCCGATGCGGCGCCCGGGGCACAGCTCGAACTCCCGCGGCATGATGGCGCCGCCACCGCCGCCGGCCGCTCGCGACTGCGCCGACCGCCCCCGGCAGCCGGCGGCCCGCCCGCTGGCTCCGCCCGGCCGCGGGGCGGGGCTGGGCGGCGAGTGGTCGGAGGCGGGGCCGCCCGGCCCCGGGAGCGGAGGGGCCGGGAGTCCGGCTGGGGGCTGTCCGCGGGCTGCGGCGGGGAGGGCGGTCCGCGCTTGTCCGCGCCCTCCTCTTAGGGAGTGGAGAGGCGTAGTTCTCCTTGAGCCTCCTTGTCTCCGGACTGAATGCTTCCTGTTCCCTCCGCGCTTCCCATAAGCCGTGCGCTCCAGACCCCTCACAGCTTCGTTGTCCTTCTCTGGCCACGCTCCAGCACCTCGACGTCTTGTAGTGAGGGACCCGAAATTGGACACGGTACTGGAGGTGTGGCTTCGTCTGGGCCGAACACAGAAGGACGATCGCCTCCCTGCTCCTGCTGGCTGCGCTGGTGTACAGGCCAGAATGCCGTTGACCTGCTTTGGCCACTGGGCACGCTGCTGGCTCGTGTTCAGCCACACGTCCAACCAAGACACCTTTTAAGCCACGCAGCTCTCCAGCTTTACTGCACCAAGCCTGTAGCGTTGCCTGGGGTTGTTGTGGCCAATATGCAGGACATAGCACTTGGTCTTGTTGAACTTCATCCCAGTGCCCTCAGCCCATCCATCCAGCCTGTCCAAATTGCTCTGCAGGGCCTTTTTACCCCAGGCAAATAAGGAAACACTTTCTCCAAACATGATGTCAAACTCACCAAGGATACGCTCAGTTTCCTAGTTGACTTACCCATACCCTTTGTTTATCATGCCTTGACCAAGGGCCATGCAGCGTGGCACGGGTATTAAAGTGTGAGTCAAAATACTGGTGTTTCAGTTTGGGTTTAAACTGCTTGTCAGAAACAAGGGAAGCATCAGATTTAGGTATGTGGTTGCAAAAATTCCTGGAAATGATGCAGTGCACCCTCTTCCTCCTGCTTATAACAAGGTGTTTGTCTGTAGGTTTCTGTGCTATATACAGTTGGATGGAAGCATTCCTGGAAAAGGCTGCTTAATGTATTTAACCCCAGAGCAATTACAGATTCTTCATCTGACTTACATGTTATGCTTTTGATGTTTGCTTTTCTCTGCATGTAGGAGTATACCTTGTATAAACAACAATTTCTGCTCAGGAAAACATTTCAAAGCTTTACACGTTTTCAAGAAGGTGCCCAGCAAACATTCTCCAACCAAACAGTTGGGCTGGATCACAGTGTTCTAGCTAATGCATTCTTACTCTGCCTTAAGATTACATAAACAAGCAAAGTGAGACCATTATAAATAAATAAATGTAGCACAAACATATGATTCTGACTGCATTGAAATGGCATCTGTAGGTAAAGAACTCCTATTTCCTTTTCTCTCGATATGAAATGGACCACAAATTGGATGTATTATGATGATGTAAGCTAAAAAGCATTGTGAAATGGAGATTGTTACAGAAATGTTAAGTAATGCTGTGCACATAACCCTTCTTTGCACTCAGGTTTTTGCTTATCTCATGAGCTGCCTGAAACTTCCCTGTAACATTTTGCTCAAGGCTTCAGTTACACTCTTCTAGAGCACGAGGACATTGTAAAGAACACTCACAGGATGAAAGACAAGTGGATTGTTAAGCCAGAGGAGCAAGTTTCTATGTAAATGGAAGCAGGTTGGGCAGGTCTGTTACACTAATGGGATAGACCTAGGAGCAGTCTGTTTGCATTTGCACATAACGGTTTGTTATCCATGCTGGACAACAGTGTTTTAACTCCAAGAAAGTTCTGAAGTGATGTGTTTGAGTCAGGAGCTAAACCAGACATCCATGCAGAGACTGGAGTCCCATTTCTGCCTTCCTCCAGTTTTCACTCAACTGCACATGGTACAAATGCAAAACACTGAATTGCTTATTTACTTGTATTAACCACAGGTTGTTGTTTTTTGTTGTCGTTGTTGTTTGTTTGTTTGTTTTTCCCCATGTATACTAATGTATATCTTTGGGGAAAAATGATGAATTAACAGAATAAAGAGTTCCTGTGTTTGGAGATATCCATGTGGTTAACTGCTTCACAATCCTGCCCCTCCAGGACAAATGGCTTGCCTTTCTGTCTTCTCTTTCAAACTTTGAAAAAAAAAAAAAAAAATCAATGACCAAAACAAATCTGAAAAATCTCTTGGCCTTACAGTTTCACTTGTCATTTTTAAATACTCTGGTGTGGCATAATTGGCAGTAATAAAAGATAATGAAACAGCAGCCAACTGTTCTGGAGCCAGCTGTGTAACGTCATTTTTCACTCTTTCCAGTGTAGATTTGCAGGGCTGCTTTGCATTACCCTTGTAATAACTGAAAGCCAAGATTCAGGTGGTGAGTAAAGGACAGGTGAAGTAGTTAGTGGCTTCCTAGTGCAAGCCACTGGAGAACTTCAAAGCTTACTAACAAGTTCCATTCTTCTTCTGTTTATGGCTATGGGCCTACTTGCAAATATTTGCTGGGTATTGCCAAGAACCTGTCACAAGCAATTTAGCTTTCTCATGAGCAGAGCACCTCAGAAAACCTGCGCCCAAGCGAGCTCAAAGTGAGGAGGGGGACACCTTCCCAAACAACCATCAAAGACCCCGAAACCTCTGCGCAGGCGCAGGAGGCTCAGTTATGCCTGTGTAACCTTGTAAGCACGTTGTGTATCAATGGGAGCAGTGTGGAGTGAAACCTTTGGGACTGCAAGTAGAAGACAGTGCAGGGAGACGGGTGTGTTTGATGGGTGGAGATGAGCCACCTTGTGCCCTGCGTAGAAATAAAACAGAGCCTGCTCTCTGAAGGTTTCCTTTGCAATGTGTAAAGGGAGGTTCTAAAGAAACGGTAACAGCAGCGTGGGAGGCCTCCAGGCCCAGCAGAGGTCAGACCTCCCC